GGTGGAATTACACGCGTATATGCAACAGAAATCAATTCGAGATTTGTGCAAGAAGCACAATATTGTTATAACAGGTTACAGTCCATTGGGCTCTCCAGCTGCAAAGACACACTTTGAGACAAAATATAAATATACTTTAGAAAAATCTCCCGACTTATTAAATCATCCGGTCATACAAGATATCGCCGCAAGACATAAAAAAACAACAGCACAAGTCTTATTACGTTATTTACTGCAACTGGACATTGTAATTATTCCCAAAAGCTCGTCTCCCGAAAGAATCAAGTCCAATATCGACTTATTTGATTTTGTCTTAACAGAGGATGATATGAAAGTCCTAAGTACTTTAGATAAAGGTGCTAATGGCAGAATTTTTAACTTCTTATTCTTTAAAGGGTAAGTTAGAGTATGGATATTATTTTAGATTTCGCAAATGTATTTAAAGAAAGAACCCAAATATTCTATAATATATATAAAAATCATATATTTATATAATATTTAGATGCACATTAGTAATGATATACCATATAAAACTAACTTGGTATCAGTTTTTTAAAAGTTTATTATTTGTAAGAGAAAAGTACGATAATTTTTAATTTTGCGCATAGCTATATATAAATATATTATATGTAATAATTATTATTTGTTTCAGAGTTCAAGACCATCCACATTATCCATTTAAAAACGAACTTTCATAATTGTAAATTAACATGCGATCATTAGTTTTTTAATAAAATAGTTGAAAAAGAATTATGTAACATATGCAACAAAAGCACAACGTTATACGTATTATAAATTAGAGACATTTCCGTTGTTCTCTTCAATGCAATCTGTACAACATTTTACGTTGCAAACGATGTTGCAGTTCACCGCGACGTATCATTGTATGTATGACTTTGTAAATAGCTCGTTCCGGAAATGATTGTTTAAGAAAATCTTTCACTATATTTTGTTCAGATACCTGATGTCCGATAGGAAATCTGCTTTTCAATTGCTTTTCGATGCGCGACAACATTTCATGATCTTCTTCTGAGGTAAATCCTTCAGCTCCTAACAATACATATGTAACATAAATAATATTTATATAAGCAAAGTATGCATATTTATTGTATTTTATTGTATTTTCTTTGAGCTATATATATATCATATCAAATAAGTTATATATTTGTGATTTGAAATATATATAAACTATAAGTTATTCAAAGTCTATATTTTATATAGCTCTAAATCTTTAAATATATAACTCGAACGAAAAAAGAAAGTAAAACGATATTTTTTATTTAAATTTGAGCAAGTTAATGTAATATTACGTTTTCTTTTGATTTTATCAATTTGTAGCATACCTGCTAATGATCCAGACATTGCTGCTTCTAATGTAGACACTTGGAAGAGTCTTAGAGCCTCATTAACATGGAGTTCAGTAACAAAGGGTTGCAATTGCATTTTGGCCAGGGCTTCGGAAATTCGTATGACAGCTTCAAGCTGCCGAACTGTTATAGGTATAGACAATCTTTTCTCGGAATCTTTCTCATGTTCTCTTGTACCAGCTCGCATCATTACGTAACGATTTTTCAGTTTTTCCCCTGCCTCTGCACTGAGTCTTGGACCACAACGCCTATGATATAAAAAAAAAATCATATTAGGGACACATGTTACATTGTATATGAAGTTTACGCTTGTATGATTAAATGCGATAAGATGTGACAAAAACTTACGTTCTGCAATAATTAATATACTTTTTGAGAATGTGTACAGGTATCTCTCCTTCTACCGATTGTTCTGTGATTTGGCCAGCGTTACAATGAATATTCATAATATGTTTGGCCAGAGTTATGTCTCTGTTTTGTTCGTGCTCATCTTTAACAATAAATATCGTATCAAAACGCGATAATATCGTGGGCATAAAATCTATGTTCTCTTCTCCTTTTATATCATCCCAACGGCCAAAGACCGAATTTGCTGCCGCTAACACAGAACAACGCGTATTCAGAGTCGTCGTTATCCCCGCTTTCGCAATAGAGATTGTTTGTTGCTCCATAGCCTCATGTATCGCTACTCTATCGTCCTCCTTCATCTTGTCGAACTCGTCTATGCAGACAACTCCACCATCCGCGAGCACCATTGCACCGCCCTCCATGACAAAATTTCTCTGAAAGCAGCAATATTAGAATGTGATTTGCCGCTGTATTGGAGTTATTTCTTTATAAGAATGCAGACTTACAGTTACTGGATCTCTCGACACGGACGCGGTCAAACCAGCCGCGGAACTACCCTTTCCCGACGTATAAACAGCTATAGGGGCAACTTTTTCAACAAATTTCAATAATTGCGACTTGGCGGTACCTGGATCACCCAACATCAAGACGTTGATGTCACCTCTCCTACATAAGCCATCTGGCATCAGTTTTCTGGATCCACCAAATAATAAACACGCAATAGCTTTTTTGATGTCTACCGCACCAAAAATACTAGGAGCTATGCTCTTCGCAATTCTCTCATATAGATTAGGATCCACTGCTAAACGGGTGAAAAGATCTTCTTCTTCAGACGACACAGGTGGCTGAGTACCTATATTAAGAAACACAATAAGAAATCAAACACACAAATCTAAATCTAATCAAACACGCTAATCGATATTTTTTATAAATGCTTTGTTTTTTAGATTTATATTATTATGCCAATATTATTACCAATGTTTGTATTTTCCCCATCTACAGAGATACCAAGAACTCGAATATATGGAGCCCGAACGCCCACTAATGTCTTCTCTCTGCCTGTACCTTTGCCACCTGTTTTAGACACCTTTTTAATGGAATATATCCCAAGAATCAAAACCCTATTACCAGGCACAATTCTGTCGCATAGATACCGATCGCAATATAATTGCAAATGTCTAGGCATTTCACCCTGCGGTATATGATCCGGTAATTCTTGAAGTTTCAATACTTGAAAGTCCACACAACGGCATTTATCTGGCATTATAAAGAAAGGATCTAGAGGACATCTTGGTCGACCCGCTTGCTCCCTGGTAAGAAATAGATGAAAATTTACAATATAAAAGTATTATATATAAACAAACAATAAAATACTTTGTGAAAAGAATATTGCTTACGTAGAACACTTCCTAGGTAACGCATATCCTTCCAAACCTGGCTTGATAGGAATATTGATTTGAGTAACTTTGCAAGAGCGACATTGTATTGCAATTTTTGTTGCCTTTGCTCTGATACCGGATGCAGAAACAATTATACCAGGAATCTTAATAAGTTTAGAAACAATATCTGGCTGCAATAATAAAGAGCTGTTGTATCAAGTTATAATTAACCAAATACTTTGTATTTTAAACTGTTAAATATATATATTACTTATTGTTTGTCTAAATTTATAGTAGAAAATTTATTAATTTTATAGTTTCTGCATATTGAATTATATATAATATTACCTTCATTCCTCTCAGGGAGCTCGGATGAGCATCCGAGCATAACAATACTTGAATATCTTCCACTTTCTCTTCACCTTCGGGCCGAGGTGTTGTAAGTTCGTCAGCAACATCTTTTGCAGCCTCCTCAAGAATTGGTAAATACTCTGTTGGAAGCTTTTGGATTTTCTCTGCGAGAGATTCGTCAAAAGCTGCTAGATCTTCCAAATTGATCTCGAACCAATATTGACCAAGATTGTAGTTACGTTTTAGAGTATCCCTGATCGTAATAGATCAAATGCATTAAATCGACATAGAAAGATTAAACAAAAGCACAAGATATGAAAAGAATTAACGTCTAAAGTATTTTATTTACCGATATTTGTAGTTGAAGTTACCCTCGTGAAACTGTCGAATGAATTCCTTAAATTTCTTCTTCGAGTGTTGGAGATTTACGCGGTTTTCGTCAGATTCGTCTACCGCAAAGTTATCCGAGAAAAACACTCCTGGATCGTCAAAGCCTTCCATGTCATACGCGAATATTTATTTAAATTAAAGATCCAAGAAAAATGCAATCAACAAGTATACACAAGTATATCGTGCCGCGAAAATCTGTTTCGGCGGGAAACTTTCAAGGTATCTTTAATGCCTGTTCACACTGAGTCGTTAAGCCCGTGTCATACTACGCATTGCGGACTCGGATCGGATTTGGAGTACGGACTGCGAATCGTCATCCATCCAATCAGAAGCCAAGGATCTGATTGGAAGATTGACGATTCGCAGTCCGTAATCCACATCCGATCCGCGTCCGCAATGCGTGGTGTGACACGGGCTTTATGATCCTCGCACACTGGACGCGATGAGCGATGGGCGATATCCAATGAGAGCTCTGGTTTCCCGAAAAAATTAAGCGGCGTCTACAATAGAGATTTTAAGCCCTAAGTCTTAAGAAATTGACCAATCACAGTCGAGTATTCTCCTCATACTTGATTGTGATTAGACAATTTCTTAAGGCTTAGGGCTTAAATTATCTATTGTAGACCGGCACTAAAGCCCGTATCAGACTACGCATTGAAAAATAATTTCTAAAATTAAACTTATGGCACAGGAGTAATTTTTCTTTTCAAAATTGTTACTATTTGATTTATATCATATGAATATGAATATCACAACTATATAACAGCTTGTGTTACGTTTTATATATGTACAAATATTTATAAATTATATTTTATATATCTTTTTTCTATCGCCATATTTTCAATATTCAATTTTATGGAGTCGTTTGTTTTAGCTCATTGTTTCAAATAGTCTTGGGAAAACAAATCTTGAAAATTGAACGAGGTATTGGACGAGACGTATTCACATTCACACACATATCAGTTTGAGTTATTTAGTTGCAGATTATTAGAATCCATAATACAGAAGGCAATAGCATTTTTAAGATTGCATATATTTCAGGTACATTATTCGTATTAATTGCATCTTTTTTCTTCATTTTTACTTAATGAAGAACATGAGAATAAGTTGTTTCTTATTTAAATCCATTATTACGCGCACGATCCTCTTTGAATCAATACGACTTTGCGATACTATATATGACAACGATGCGCGGAGATCTTGGAGACATGCGTGTTTTTGTTAGAGTATACGACTATTCTAATTTTAGAAAACGGCCTATCCAGGAGTAACACATTTACCTCTGACATCCATACTTAATTAAGAAGAATTAGCACGGTATCGCGGAGTTATTTCTAAATGATAGTATGCTGCTTTAATACATTTAATACCAATCTGTGTGTTGTTGCAATAGAATATCGAGAAGAGAATCTCAACAAGCATGCGTTCTGTACGGTTGCTATCTGGATACAATATGCCGACAGTGGGATTAGGGACATGGCAGGTAAAATAATATCAAACTGTTTGTGATAAAATAATGATGCGTGTATCATTAATTACATATTTATTGTGTTATCAGTAAATTAATTAATATATATATATATAACTTCTTTTTTCTTTTTCCAGGCTAAACCAGAAGAAATCGAGACCGCTGTAAGCACCGCTTTGGAATGCGGCTACAGGCATATCGATACAGCGACCAATTATAATAATGAGGAAGCAATCGGTAAAGCTTTAAAAAAATGGTTTGAAAAAGGTGGTACTAGGAAGGAACTTTTTATCACGACGAAGGTAACGTGTTGGTGAGAATTCAATACAATCGCGATTTAGCGCTTAATATTACAATGCTGGTCGCATTTTGTTTTAAGCAATCAGTTTACTTTGAAAGTTGCTTTGTAATGTTTTCAGTTGCCCCATTTTGGTAATCGACCATCCGATGTAGAAAAATTCATCAAGTTATCATTGGAGAAACTTGGATTGGATTACTTAGATATGTATCTTGTTCATTTGCCATTTACATTTAAGTTTGACGAAAAGACGGGCGCTGCAGCGACCCATGAAGATGGAAGTTATATACTCGACTTTGATACAGATCCTGTCTCAGTATGGAAGGTGTGTGTGTGTCCAAGATCAATTGTCTAAGATATTATGTTACATTATAAAGAGATCTTTGAGAAATCGAGATTATTTTGCAGGAAATGGAGAAGCAAGTTAAATCAGGGCGTACTAGATCCATAGGTTTGAGTAACTTTAACGAGGAGCAAATTTCGACTATTTGGGAAAACGCACAGATTAAACCAAGTAATCTACAGGTAAGTCTTAGATTTTATATCTATGTAAATTCGTCTGTCAAATAAATTTAAAAAAAATATGGTTTCTTAGGTGGAATTACACGCGTATATGCAACAGAAATCAATTCGAGATTTGTGCAAGAAGCACAATATTGTTATAACAGGTTACAGTCCATTGGGCTCTCCAGCTGCAAAGACACACTTTGAGACAAAATATAAATATACTTTAGAAAAATCTCCCGACTTATTAAATCATCCGGTCATACAAGATATCGCCGCAAGACATAAAAAAACAACAGCACAAGTCTTATTACGTTATTTACTGCAACTGGACATTGTAATTATTCCCAAAAGCTCGTCTCCCGAAAGAATCAAGTCCAATATCGACTTATTTGATTTTGTCTTAACAGAGGATGATATGAAAGTCCTAAGTACTTTAGATAAAGGTGCTAATGGCAGAATTTTTAACTTCTTATTCTTTAAAGGGTAAGTTAGAGTATGGATATTATTTTAGATTTCGCAAATGTATTTAAAGAAAGAACCCAAATATTCTATAATATATATAAAAATCATATATTTATATAATATTTAGATGCACATTAGTAATGATATACCATATAAAACTAACTTGGTATCAGTTTTTTAAAAGTTTATTATTTGTAAGAGAAAAGTACGATAATTTTTAATTTTGCGCATAGCTATATATAAATATATTATATGTAATAATTATTATTTGTTTCAGAGTTCAAGACCATCCACATTATCCATTTAAAAACGAACTTTCATAATTGTAAATTAACATGCGATCATTAGTTTTTTAATAAAATAGTTGAAAAAGAATTATGTAACATATGCAACAAAAGCACAACGTTATACGTATTATAAATTAGAGACATTTCCGTTGTTCTCTTCAATGCAATCTGTACAACATTTTACGTTGCAAACGATGTTGCAGTTCACCGCGACGTATCATTGTATGTATGACTTTGTAAATAGCTCGTTCCGGAAATGATTGTTTAAGAAAATCTTTCACTATATTTTGTTCAGATACCTGATGTCCGATAGGAAATCTGCTTTTCAATTGCTTTTCGATGCGCGACAACATTTCATGATCTTCTTCTGAGGTAAATCCTTCAGCTCCTAACAATACATATGTAACATAAATAATATTTATATAAGCAAAGTATGCATATTTATTGTATTTTATTGTATTTTCTTTGAGCTATATATATATCATATCAAATAAGTTATATATTTGTGATTTGAAATATATATAAACTATAAGTTATTCAAAGTCTATATTTTATATAGCTCTAAATCTTTAAATATATAACTCGAACGAAAAAAGAAAGTAAAACGATATTTTTTATTTAAATTTGAGCAAGTTAATGTAATATTACGTTTTCTTTTGATTTTATCAATTTGTAGCATACCTGCTAATGATCCAGACATTGCTGCTTCTAATGTAGACACTTGGAAGAGTCTTAGAGCCTCATTAACATGGAGTTCAGTAACAAAGGGTTGCAATTGCATTTTGGCCAGGGCTTCGGAAATTCGTATGACAGCTTCAAGCTGCCGAACTGTTATAGGTATAGACAATCTTTTCTCGGAATCTTTCTCATGTTCTCTTGTACCGGCTCGCATCATTACGTAACGATTTTTCAGTTTTTCCCCTGCCTCTGCACTGAGTCTTGGACCACAACGCCTATGATATAAAAAAAAAATCATATTAGGGACACATGTTACATTGTATATGAAGTTTACGCTTGTATGATTAAATGCGATAAGATGTGACAAAAACTTACGTTCTGCAATAATTAATATACTTTTTGAGAATGTGTACAGGTATCTCTCCTTCTACCGATTGTTCTGTGATTTGGCCAGCGTTACAATGAATATTCATAATATGTTTGGCCAGAGTTATGTCTCTGTTTTGTTCGTGCTCATCTTTAACAATAAATATCGTATCAAAACGCGATAATATCGTGGGCATAAAATCTATGTTCTCTTCTCCTTTTATATCATCCCAACGGCCAAAGACCGAATTTGCTGCCGCTAACACAGAACAACGCGTATTCAGAGTCGTCGTTATCCCCGCTTTCGCAATAGAGATTGTTTGTTGCTCCATAGCCTCATGTATCGCTACTCTATCGTCCTCCTTCATCTTGTCGAACTCGTCTATGCAGACAACTCCACCATCCGCGAGCACCATTGCACCGCCCTCCATGACAAAATTTCTCTGAAAGCAGCAATATTAGAATGTGATTTGCCGCTATATTGGAGTTATTTCTTTATAAGAATGCAGACTTACAGTTACTGGATCTCTCGACACGGACGCGGTCAAACCAGCCGCGGAACTACCCTTTCCCGACGTATAAACAGCTATAGGGGCAACTTTTTCAACAAATTTCAATAATTGCGACTTGGCGGTACCTGGATCACCCAACATCAAGACGTTGATGTCACCTCTCCTACATAAGCCATCTGGCATCAGTTTTCTGGATCCACCAAATAATAAACACGCAATAGCTTTTTTGATGTCTACCGCACCAAAAATACTAGGAGCTATGCTCTTCGCAATTCTCTCATATAGATTAGGATCCACTGCTAAACGGGTGAAAAGATCTTCTTCTTCAGACGACACAGGTGGCTGAGTACCTATATTAAGAAACACAATAAGAAATCAAACACACAAATCTAAATCTAATCAAACACGCTAATCGATATTTTTTATAAATGCTTTGTTTTTTAGATTTATATTATTATGCCAATATTATTACCAATGTTTGTATTTTCCCCATCTACAGAGATACCAAGAACTCGAATATATGGAGCCCGAACGCCCACTAATGTCTTCTCTCTGCCTGTACCTTTGCCACCTGTTTTAGACACCTTTTTAATGGAATATATCCCAAGAATCAAAACCCTATTACCAGGCACAATTCTGTCGCATAGATACCGATCGCAATATAATTGCAAATGTCTAGGCATTTCACCCTGCGGTATATGATCCGGTAATTCTTGAAGTTTCAATACTTGAAAGTCCACACAACGGCATTTATCTGGCATTATAAAGAAAGGATCTAGAGGACATCTTGGTCGACCCGCTTGCTCCCTGGTAAGAAATAGATGAAAATTTACAATATAAAAGTATTATATATAAACAAACAATAAAATACTTTGTGAAAAGAATATTGCTTACGTAGAACACTTCCTAGGTAACGCATATCCTTCCAAACCTGGCTTGATAGGAATATTGATTTGAGTAACTTTGCAAGAGCGACATTGTATTGCAATTTTTGTTGCCTTTGCTCTGATACCGGATGCAGAAACAATTATACCAGGAATCTTAATAAGTTTAGAAACAATATCTGGCTGCAATAATAAAGAGCTGTTGTATCAAGTTATAATTAACCAAATACTTTGTATTTTAAACTGTTAAATATATATATTACTTATTGTTTGTCTAAATTTATAGTAGAAAATTTATTAATTTTATAGTTTCTGCATATTGAATTATATATAATATTACCTTCATTCCTCTCAGGGAGCTCGGATGAGCATCCGAGCATAACAATACTTGAATATCTTCCACTTTCTCTTCACCTTCGGGCCGAGGTGTTGTAAGTTCGTCAGCAACATCTTTTGCAGCCTCCTCAAGAATTGGTAAATACTCTGTTGGAAGCTTTTGGATTTTCTCTGCGAGAGATTCGTCAAAAGCTGCTAGATCTTCCAAATTGATCTCGAACCAATATTGACCAAGATTGTAGTTACGTTTTAGAGTATCCCTGATCGTAATAGATCAAATGCATTAAATCGACATAGAAAGATTAAACAAAAGCACAAGATATGAAAAGAATTAACGTCTAAAGTATTTTATTTACCGATATTTGTAGTTGAAGTTACCCTCGTGAAACTGTCGAATGAATTCCTTAAATTTCTTCTTCGAGTGTTGGAGATTTACGCGGTTTTCGTCAGATTCGTCTACCGCAAAGTTATCCGAGAAAAACACTCCTGGATCGTCAAAGCCTTCCATGTCATACGCGAATATTTATTTAAATTAAAGATCCAAGAAAAATGCAATCAACAAGTATACACAAGTATATCGTGCCGCGAAAATCTGTTTCGGCGGGAAACTTTCAAGGTATCTTTAATGCCTGTTCACACTGAGTCGTTAAGCCCGTGTCATACTACGCATTGCGGACTCGGATCGGATTTGGAGTACGGACTGCGGATCGTCATCCATCCAATCAGAAGCGTACGGACTGCGAATCGTCATCCATCCAATCAGAAGCCAAGGATCTGATTGGAAGATTGACGATTCGCAGTCCGTAATCCACATCCGATCCGCGTCCGCAATGCGTGGTGTGACACGGGCTTTATGATCCTCGCACACTGGACGCGATGAGCGATGGGCGATATCCAATGAGAGCTCTGGTTTCCCGAAAAAATTAAGCGGCGTCTACAATAGAGATTTTAAGCCCTAAGTCTTAAGAAATTGACCAATCACAGTCGAGTATTCTCCTCATACTTGATTGTGATTAGACAATTTCTTAAGGCTTAGGGCTTAAATTATCTATTGTAGACCGGCACTAAAGCCCGTATCAGACTACGCATTGAAAATTGAAGATTAAAGATTGGAATTTGACCAATCAGAACAAAAGGGACTAAAATTTCTTTATTCTGATTGGTCAAATTTTAATCTTGAATCTTGAATCTCAATCTTCAATGCATAGTATACAGAATTTTAAATTTCTTCATTTGACAGCCAATCATGTGATAATGTGTAGTACACTGTGTCATCTATGTACTTTGCTGGAAAACGCCCACAGTCATTCCCAATGAGTAAAGGCTGGTTTATGCAGACCGTAACTGTTAAGCCCGTATCAGACTACGCATTGAAGATTGAGATTCAAGATTCGAGATTAAAATTTGGCCAATCAGGACAAAGAAATTTTAGTCCCTTTTGTTCTGATTAGTCAAATTCCAATCTTTAATCTTCAATCTTCAATTTTCAATGCGTAGTCTGATACGGGCTTTAATTTATGCCGGAACCGTTAAAGTTTAACACTAGGATTACAATGCTTTTGTTCATAATGCCATTATGAATCCGGCATAAATTAACAGTTACGGCCTGCATAAACCAGCCTTTAAGAATCACAGGAGAGAACATTTGGTGCTAAGTAAGCGGACGGAAGTGCCTATATATAAGTGGACGCTTAAGATGGCCGTTCAGAGACGAATTACAGCATGACAGAGATACTGGAAGTACCTCAAAGGCCTGGCAATGCACGATGATTTTAGAATTAACACTTATTAATAATATTTTTTTAACCTAATATTAGCTCTTTCTCTCTTATTTAGAATCGGTGATCGTGCGCAAAATAAGTGCAGACTGGAATAAGTAAGGCAACAAGTGGCTGTACACGGCCCTGAAAAACGTCGAAAAAAATGGACGCTCAAGATGGCTGCGATGACGTACTACTGTTCGCGATAAATCTACCCTCACCACCGATATGCTCTCTCCTGTGATTCTTTACTCATTGGAAGAAACATAATATTCGATTTCGATAAGGAAAAGAAAAAAAAGTATGCAACAACGTATGAAAAATATACGCGATAGATAAAAAGATTTTCATCCTCGATGGTAGTATACGCGAAGCAGAAAGTGATTGTGAGATAATAAGTTTACATTCTCAAAATTTGTTGTCATTTCCGTCTAGTAAAATTAAACTGTCTTTAATCTCAATGCAAATGATATGGCCAATATATTAGAAATACACATTTCTTATTTCCTTCTTAAAGATCGATACAATTTGGGATGATATGTATTCTGACAGCAACTTAAAAAAATGTGATGCAGGAGAGAAAGATCAGTGCCAGATTGGATGTATAAAATGTGGTATGCGAGAACATATATATCTTTCCAAATCTCATATTAATTGCAAAAAATGTCAAATTGGCGCGTATGTATTTGTTACATATTTATTATACGCATACTTGTGTACAATATTGACTTCACATTCAGACAAAATGTTTTTAAATGTACACATTTTTCTGACAGCTGTCTGATGTGTTTTCTCCAATCTTATTTGATATTTGCATTCGCGATAAGACACAAGACAGACGGAAATGTATTCTCCGTGTCGATTAATTTAATATTTAATGGAACAATCCGAGAATATCACTCGACACATTTGGCGATAATATTTCTAATCAATTGATATGTTCTATGTTGATAGATCGTGCAAACATGGTGAACGATAATGCGAGTATTCTAAGGTCAGAATGATTGTTGCAAAAGATTAAATTAACAGAACATGCTCGTCTGTTTGTGCCATTTTTGTTAAGTGATAAGTCATGCCCGGAGAACCATCAGCGACAACTGGAAATAAATCCAGTGGCAAGGCAAAGAGGATCTCTATACCTCGTGTGCAAAGCAGTACCGACACAGAGCTACAGTCGCAACAGAGCGG